AGAGGTAATGTATGGGTGAAGATTCCAAAAAGGTAAATGAAGGTATAACTCCTAACACACCTTTAAGCTTAAAGTTCTATATTCTTTAAGGTGTGATTTGTGTACAATAGGTTGTGTCTAATCATTACTTTCATGTAACCTAATTGTACTAAGTTTGCTAAGTCATATTCTGCTTGTTTCTTTTAAACCTTCATTGAACTCAAAAATGAGAATTATATTATTTTGATGAATGCCTAGTAGAATATGAATGATTCATGTATTCATTAACATTGTATATCATGTCATCCATTACTATGAAAAAGAGATAAGAAATGATAAATATTTTTTGTGAGCATACTTTTCACATCTTATAAATGACTTCATACTAATATGTTAATTCCTTTTTGAGTCATATATTTGTAGAATCAATTTTGATGTCATAGCATGTTTTTGAGATGTATACTATCTATATTCTGAATTGTACATTTATGATCTCAAGAATATGCTCAATATGAAAATTTCATACTTATATGCTTTACATTGGAATATTTGAATGAGTTGTGAAATTCCTTGATTATGATCCATCAACAATGTCTAAATGAAAAGAAGTATCATACGTTTGTAGACACATTGCATCTATCCTATTGAATATCTTTTGAATATGGATTATATTGACATACATATCATGAAATGCTTTTGATTGATAAATTGTTAAATTAATTGTTTATAACATTCATATTGTGTTCCACATTAAGTAAAATGTTTTATCACACTTGAGTATGTGGATTGAATTGATAAAAATGCCTCTTGATAATGTTATGTGATTAAATGAGATTGTTGCATCATTTTTTAATAAAACAAAGAGTATAAAACTATTTTCTTATGCATATTATGCTATGTGCTACAACTTGAAAATTATGAAAAATAGCATTCCAAACTCTTATTTGATCATTGAATTATTTTTCACCTTTTGAGTTTGTGATAAGAAGTGATTTGTGCTGTATTTTTATTGAGTAATAGTGATTGTTCTATAAATGTTATATTTACACAAAATCATATTAGAAAAGGGTAACACCAACTTAGGAGGAGAAATCATTTTGCTGACATACTTGTTAAACCCTTTTGAGATGAACTCCTCATGAAAGAAAATTGAAGATTGAAAAGCTTCTAACTTATGAACCAAAGGTATGCCTCTTACACTTTCTTAAGCTTTTGAGGTAAACATTCTATCTTATATCCTTTGAGCTAATACTGTTATTACTTTGATATGAAAAAGATTGATTATACTTCATACGATTTGCAATGTATACTCTTTGATAATGCTCTTGCCTAAGAATCATGCCTATATATTGAAATTCATAATTTGTCTTGGCATATGGATTGCTATACCTTGAACATGCTTCATTTTTTGGAATTACATTAGCGCCATGAGATTATATTGAGTTTAACCTATTATAAGCAATATTTGGTATTCTACATAATGCATGAGCTATGATTGTTAAATCTTCTAGATTGCATATTGGTATCCTTGGTAGATTGCATGTTGGTATAATTTTGGCATCTTTATTGGTAATATTTGGCATCCTATTTGATATTATTGAGAAGAACATTTCAGTTATGAGCTTTCATTTATCATATCTCCTATTGATTTTGCCAAATGAAACGAAGGGAAAAATTTAAACTAGATTATTTAAAAAAAAAAAAAAATCCCCTCAGATTCTATTCTATTTTTGATATCACACTTTTGAGCTTGCACCTCACATATTTTTTTTTCATTATTATTTTTTGTTTGGGCTTAATTTTCTTTTTCTTTTTTTTCTGTTTTTTACATTTCATTTTCAGTAATTAAACATAAAAACACAAACAAATCAACATACAAATATTTACATTAAAAAAAAAAAAACACCCTCCATTTTTTTTACGGCCATACGCCGATCAAACTAACCATATTTCAAAAAAAAAAAACATAAAAAAAAAACAAAACAACCCTTCATTTTTTTCCGGCCATACGCTGACCTCACTTACTCGCCTCTTCCATCATTTTTTTCCTTCTTTTTATCGCCTTGGACGACCCTTGACGCCCCTGCCCCCTTGCTTTCGTCGAGAGCGACGACTCCCCGCTGACTATCAAAGGCCAAGAACGACGTTGCTCCAAATTGGGCCGTGGAAGTGGTCTTCCATTTAAGCTCTTTATTTTCGACCTTCAATGCGCAAATCTCTGCTCGCGCATCCTTGCACATGCGTTGGAGCAAAGAGAGTTGGGCATTAACCTGGTGGAGCTCACTCGTTCTGTTCTGCAGTCGATGCACCAATTTTGTGACTGCATTCACCGTCTCCATACAGGACGTCAGTGTGAAACGATTGGCTTCAATATCTGATAGTGCTGCCATTATTTGCTCAATTGACATCATATGAAGGTTGGAAAGAATAGGAGCCGGGCACTCGGCCCAGCAGCGCTTATGGGATCATTTAGGTCCTGAAAGAGAGTAAGGGGACGAGACGAGGCCATGTAGTAGGAGAGAGAGATGTAATCGAAAGGAGGGTCATTTTTGGCAGCCTTTCTGCTTTGATCAGTGTCTCTATTCTTTCTCTCGCGCGAAGACGAAGAAAGGGATGGAAGCGAATGAGGAAAAAGAAGAAGAAGAGAGTGATTAAGACGAAGACGGAGAAGAAGACGACAAGAGGGAGAGAGAGCCGAGGCAGTTGATTGACCCATCTCGCTTTTGTCGGTCGGCTGACGCAAAAGCGAGGCCGTGTGTCCGACACCATTTTCGACAGAAAAGAAAGAGGCAGGCAAATCAAATATATATATATATATATGTTTTGATTATCTGTTTTTGATGTCATTTATCATTATCATTTTCCTCCTCTTCCTCCAGATTTTGAGCCATGATTTCCTTTTGATAATATCACAGGGAGAGAAAATTATGACGTTATGTATTATGATATTATTTTCAAATTATGGTATTATTTTCAAACTAATCTGATGTTATGTGTTTATAATTTGATATTTTAGTCTCATATCATGTTTCTAATTAAAGCTTATTTATTGCATATGTGCTAACCTATGTTTTTATAAATGAATTCAGAGAGCATGACTTGAGGGGGAGTTTTTCTCACTCCCAAATCAAATCAAAACATCATTGTGCGCCATCATAAAAAAAGAGGAGATTGTTAGACTTATTTATTTTGATGATTTATTTAATTATGTCTTAATTTATTTGAAAAAGAAAAATAGAAACAGACAGAGACCTAGATGGACAGTGATCGACAGAGACAGCCAGACCAAGATCGACAGAGAGGGACTGAATCGACAGAGGCAGCCAGACCGAGATCGACAGAGAGGGACCGAATCGACAGAGATCGACAGAGAAGAGACCACATGGACACAGACAGACCAAGATCACTGGAGACAGACCGAGAGAGACCGACATCGACGGCCGACATCGATAGAGAGAGACCAAGATCGATAGCCAGAGAGAAAAAAACCTTTGATTTGCGGCGACGGTGGCCGTGGAGGTGGCGGTGGTCGTGGAGGTGGCGACGACAGTGAGCACCGGAGGCCACCGACGCTCGGGTGGTCAGCGGGGGTCACGAACCCTTTGATTTGTTCAGTGGTTGTCCCAATTTGTTTATGAACACTTTGAAGTGTTACTCCTTTTGTACTTATGAACACTTTGAAATGTTACTCCTTTTGTGTTTATGAGCACTTTGAAATGTTACTCCTTTTGTGAAATTACTTTTTTCATAAAATTTATACTTTTTATTTAAATTTACACCTTTTGTGAAAGCCAAACTTAAACATTTTTCTGAAGTCACTTATATATTTTGTGGAAAAAAAAAATCATCAAATTTATATACATTTTGCAAAAACTTACACCTTTTTGTGAAAACACTTACACCGCTGCGGTAAAATTACTCCTTTTGTGAAAGAATTTTTGTCATAAGATTTATACTTTTTTGAAACTTACACCTTTTCTTAAAGCCCAACTTAAACCTTTTTCAGAAGTCACTTATATCTTTTGTGAAAAAAAAAATTGATGAAATTTACACATTTTGCCTAAACTTACAGTTTTTCGTGAATATACCTTAACGATCTATTTGGAAATTAAATAAAAAAGGAAATTGAATAGAAAAGGAAAGTGAATAAAAATGGAAGTGAAATAAAAATAAAAATGGAAGTGGCATAAAATTAAAAATGGAAGTTCATTCAAGAAACCACTATACCATAACGATCTATTCGGAAATTAAATAAAAATGGAAAATGAATAGAAAAGGAAATTGAATAAAAAACGAAGTTTAATAAATGGAAATATGGAAGCTGCATAAAATTAAAAATGGAAATTCATTCAAGAAACCAGTATACATTAATGATCTATTTGGAAATTAAATAAAAAAAGGAAATCACTACTAAAAACTTGACTTTTTGCGACGGTCTCAAACGTCGCAAAAGGTCCATATATCGTCGCAAAAGACTTTTTGCGACGGAGCAGCGACGGAAAATGGGGGGTGGCGGAAAGGGGCGTGACAAAAAGTATTTGCGACGGTTACAAACCGTCGCATTCTTGTAGCGACGGCTAATCAATAGTTTTTGCGACGGTTTCGCCTGACACAAAAAAAGGGGAAAAAATGGCATTTTTAGTGACGATGTTGATTGCCGTCGCAAAAAACCTTTTTTAGTGATAGTATTTGCCGTTGCAAAAAGTATTATTCGCGACGGTCTAAAACGTCGCCAAAAAAGTAGTATTAAGTTAATACCGTATTGGCAACCTATTAAACCGTCGCAAAAGATTTATTTGCGACAGTTGAAACCGTCGCAAAAGATTGGAACTAATATGTATATGCAATAGGTTAACCCGTCGCTAATAAAATATAAGGAAATGAGAATTACATTAGCGACGGTTTATTATTGTCGCAACAAAATTATTTTTTATAAAATCATATTTTATTAAATATTTCCTATACAAATTATTAATATTTTTAAAAATACATCCACATCCACATCCACATCCAAATTCACATTCAAAAAATCATATACCAAGAATAATATATGTACCTTGTAACAATTGTCAATCAAATATTATTTACAAAAATATATAAAATAACCTCTAACAATACTAATAATTTTTGAAATTAAAGAACTCAAATTTTTAGTATCGACAATAGAAATAAAAAAAAATAAAAACAGATATAATGTAGCTTGTTTTGATATCAATAGTAAGCTCCCATATCGATATGTGAAGATATCACGTACTCAAAAGGTTTGCATCTGCAAAAAGAAACAAAAAAGAAAAAAAAAAATCATCATTTACAACATAATTATTTTCAAGCTAACAGAAAATGTAAAACATTTGATTTTTTTTAAAATAAATAAATAAATAAATAAGATTGTAAACTCTAATATCGATATGTGAAGATATCATCACGTACTCAAAAGGTTGCACCTGCAAAAAAAAACCAAAAAAAAAAATCATTTACAATATAATTAATTTCAAGCTTACAGAAAATGTAAAACATTTGATATTTACTTCAATAAATAAATAAATAAGATTGCAACATATACCTGAATCGAGCGCCACACAATGTATCTTCCCATAGCTTCTCCAACTGTTCTAAGACATTGGGATGTTGTTTCCAAAACAGCGTTCGACTTGTTCGCTTTTAAAACAAAAACTTTGCAAAATCCAGAGCCAATTGGAACTCCATCAATTTCGCACAACGGATCAACACTAATAAGAAGTCCCTCTGCCAATTGGACTCTTGGTATTATAGAACTCTCCAAAGAAACTTTAATTACATCCTACAATGATGATAATACAATTAAAAATAGGCAATGATTGTACACATTGAGCTATAATCTATAACAATAATCGAATAAACACAAAAAGAGTTTGTAAAGAAGAAGTTTTGATCGAATTCCGTCTTCTCTTACAAGTCATGTGTACCAAGTATGTTGCGCGTGTCAAGTTTTGTTGACATCCGAACCCGTTTGAGCATTTTAGTGTGTCAACCGGTTTAGAGTTATTAACTAACAAGTTTTCATTAACGGAAATTAGGCTTTAGATTCAAAACCGGGAATTGATTCCGAGTTTCGTCTTATCCTACAAGTCATGTGCGGCTAGTATGTTGTGCGTGTGAAGTTTCGTTGACATCCGAACCCGTTTGAGCATTTTAGTGTGTCAACTGGTTTAGAGTTAATAAGTAACAAGTTTTCATAAACGGAAATTAGGCTCTAGATTCAAAACCGGGAATCGGTTTTGAATTCCGTCTTATCCTACAAGTCATGTGTGCCTAATATGTTGTGTCAAGTTTCGTTGACATTCGAACCCGTTTAAGCATTTTAGTGTGTCAACCGGTTTGAAAAAGAGTCATTAAGTAATAAGTTTTCATTAACGAAAATTAGGCTCTAGATTCAAATCCGGTTTGAAAAAGAGTTATTAAGTAATAAGTTTTCATTAACCGAAATTAGACTCTAGATTCAAAACCGGGAATCGGTTTCGAGTTCCGTCTTATCCTACAAGTCATGTGTGCCTAGTATGTTGTGCGTGTCAAGTTTCGTTGACATCCGAACCCGTTTGAGCATTTTAGTGTGTCAACCGGTTTGAAAAAGAGTCATTAAGTAACAAGTTTTTAGAAATGGAAATTAGGCTCTAGATTCAAAACCGGGAATCGGTTTTGAGTTCCGTCTTATCCTACAAGTCATGTGTGCCTAGTATGTTGTGCGCGTCAAGTTTCGTTGACATCCGAACCCGTTTGAGCATTTTAGTGTGTCAACCGGTTTGAAAAAGAGTCATTTAGTAACAAGTTTTTATTAACGGAAATTTGGCTCTAGATTCAAAACCGGGAATCGGTTTCGAGTTCCGTCTTATCCTACAAGTCATGTGTGCCTAGTATGTTGTGCGTGTCAAGTTTCGTCGACATCCGAACCCGTTTGAGCATTTTAGTGTGTCAACCGGTTTAGAGTAAGTAACAAGTTTTCATAAACGGAAATTAGGCTCTAGATTCAAAACCGGGAATCGGTTTCGAGTTCCGTCTTATCCTACAAGTCATGTGTGGCTAGTACGTTGTGCGTGTCAAGTTTCGTTGACATCCGAACCCGTTTGAGCATTTTAGTGTGTCCACCGGTTTAGAGTTAATAAGTAACAAGTTTTCATAAATGGAAATTAGGCTCAACAATCTCTCCATATCTGTAAATTAACTCAATCAGACAGCAGATTTCAGTGATAAGAACAAAACAAGACAAAAACAAAATAAATTAAAACATAACAAGACAAAAGCAGATGAATACATGGGAAAAAGAATCCCACCATAAAAATCAGAATGAATAGTAGTTAATGCAAGCTATGAAACCCATTATTTCTCATACATAATAAACATTCTATACTAAGCAGCAAGATATATGTTAAAAGTTTCACACTACCGTGTAACAAGGATTAATAAAAAGAACTTACAGCCCTAAGATTTGATATTTGAAATATGTAAATTATTTTCAAAACCAATAACCTAAATTTCAGTTGAGATTCTCATTTTTCACATATCTGCAGCTTTTAACCACTGCTGCAAAAGGACGGAATGGTATACAGGGCCACTTGAATATGAACAATCCCCACATTGTATGGAAATCAACTTAGAGCGACATACCTACTACACAAATGAAACTACAAGCACCACTGAGCCATTAGAAGAGAGATACAAGTTTAATGTTATAAATGCTTTCAAACATGAGGGGGGCTGGAGAATAATTAAGGCTTTAGGAAATAAAACGAAGATAGGATATAGACCCAATGATTAATGGTGTTTGAGACCTTTTGTTGAATATCTTTTTATTTAAAGCAATAGATGTTAGAATATCTTGACAATAGCAAGAATGCTCATTCACATAAAGAGCCAGTATATAATTAGCCAAAGATTGTGCAATTTGGATGTCATAAAATCATGTTACAACCTAAACAACAACAATTTGCAACATTGATGTGGTTACTGCTAGTTTATTTTAATCTTGTATTGGTCAAGTAGACACTTTGGTACCGAGCAGCGAGTCTTCTTCCGCCCTTAGGCAGCTGCTGGATTCCTTCACAGAGAGAGGGAACGAGTTAATTCTCTTCTTTCGCCGAAGGTCACATAGTGGTGGCATCCAGTTGAGAATTCGATCGAAATCCCTTTACAGTCCGTCAACGACGACAAACTTTGGAGGGAGAGTGATACAACTAATAATGATGATAGCTCCCCTCATCCCTCTGCCATGAACAGAAGGTTAACCTATGGGATCTGTTAAACCAATCCAAACTAAGTTTTGTGTCTAATTAGGTGGAGTTAGATATATGAATCCTTTTTTACCATTCCACTCTGTCAACGAAAAAAATAATAGAAAAAATCAGCAAATTCCAATATTTTTCTTCCAAGAAAGCTAAATCCCAAAATATCCAACAATAAATGACAAACTCCATTATACAAATAGGGTCGGGCTAAGGCAATAATCACGACTAGGATGAACTTCGATAAATAAAATAAGAATTAGTAGAAGTCCTCAAAAGGTAAAGCAAATGAAACCTATTTCTCATTTAAAACAAAAACAAAAAACAAGACAACAAAATTATGGTGACTAGAAAAGCTCTAACTTTAATTGGTCTAATGGACTAGCTTTGAAGAATCTAACTGCCCCATCCTTTTATTTTTACTAGTGGTTATGCATGGGGGGGGGGGTTTGCATAACTGCTCTTACATAAATGATCTTGAGTGCAACCAACTTGGATGTAGGCTTTATATAACAGTACAAATTTTTTCATGGCCACTCCTTGTATGGTCTTTATTTAATCTACTTTTCAAGAACCTCTTCCATACACCAGCGAATATCCACTTTCCGGAAGCAATTGAACTTGATGTTCTTTCACGTATCCTACCTTTGGTTCACAAGCTCAAAACTCAAAATATTCTTCTCCTTTTTTACAAGCTAACTCAAAATATTCTTCTCAAGGATATCTTCCATGATAGTAGTAAAATTTAAACATCAAACAAAACTGATTCAGGTTCCCAAAGTTCAAAATTGCAATCCTCCTGTAGTTTTCCAGCTTTTAGTTCAGTAATTCAAAATATTATTCTCCAACACATCCTCTGTAATCTGTAGTCACAAGAAGTTCCTTAGCACGTGATCAAGCTTCCCATGTTATATTCCCCTTCAAACAAAAAGGTTCATGCCCATGCTTATAGCTCCCTGATAACTTTAATATCCCGTGAAACTTAGTACAAGAAATTTATACATTAAATTTTTCTCTCATTTTTTTGTTGAAACTCACTTGAATCCAGTCCCAAAAAGCTGTGTCACCAAAAACCCAGCCCTTGTTACACACTCCATGACCTCACCACAGTTGTAGTTCCTCTAAAAAGAAAATGTTAGTCATATGGCTTAATTCAAATCATAATTTTTTTTTATAAGTAACTAATTCCATTCATAAATGATTACTGGAACATAAGAAATGACTTAGCATTTTTACAGCAGCAACACAAAGGACCAGATAAAGCAATGCCAACACACCTATAAGCAGAATTTGAGAGAATTACCTATTTATCTTTGAGCTATGCACGTGCATAAAAGAACCATCTATCTAGAACAAAAAACAAACAATGGCATGATCTCCTAGAAGTTCCATAACATCAAGCCATATTTAACTTGTTCTAGCACATATAAATAAAATAACATTTCTCTAAACATCGAAACATGCATTGGACACCAGTGGACATGAGTATCAAATGTTTACCACGCCCCAGTTATTAACAGGAAAAAAAAATGTTCCACATATTGCAAATGTTAACCCGTCCAGAAAGGGAGAAAAGGATGAATACGCAAAGATCAAGTAGCCACTCTGCACTTCTTTTTTATTTGAGAGGGGAGGGGGAAGAGTTATTATCTGTGTTACATGGACTCCTCCATTTTCCCCTAAAATACCCATGTCCATTGGATATGACATGAGTAAGGGTGTAGGATATGTGTCCAACACTTGTAACTAATTTAGAAACTTGGATCCTTTAATTTGTTACAATATATGAAGAAGAAGAAACTCACATTTTGCTAATAAAGCAATACTTTTAGCCTCTCACGTGAATTAGAGATAAAAATTCCGTATTTTTTTTAATCCTATTTAATTTCTAGTATGTTTCTATATAATTTACATCTCATCCGAGAAAATTATATAATATGCAATATATATATATGACGGGTCTCCGTATCCATATCCAATTTTGGATAAGTATCCCAAGCTCCTAAGACCTAAGATTTAAGTTTATGAAGGTCTACGCTTTGATACACACCTGCTTCCAATACTCGTACCCATTTCCATGTAACATAGGTTATTATGCAACTTTTGCAGGCCCAAATCTTTATCAACTTATCGTTTCTGACAAAACGATTTATCACGAACTGTTGTGATTCCAAAGTGGCCTATTACATAGGCATAGGCTGTGTTTGGATCTTGTACTCATGAAGGGATTTGTGGAAGGAAACAAAAAAAAATGGATACTCCTTCATGCACTTTTCCCCTTCCTTGTCTCTCAGCTTCTCCACAAATCCAAGATATAATGGTAATGAATTAGAGAGATTGAATCTTAACGCATATAATAATAATAAGACAATCTAGTTGTTCATTCCACCATGCCTATGATACAAACTAGTACACATAAAAAAGCAATTGAGAGATAAAAAGTAAAGAGCAAAAGAAGAATAAGGAGCACTTACTGTGCAAAAACAGCAAGAAGATCGCCTTCAGTGAGATCAAAGGGAATGCCTCCGACAAAGACATAAGCAGAATCTTTGTACTTGGCGTGCCAGGAAGCTTGTTCAGAAATACCTAACGCAGCTTCTTTCGAATTGATATTCTGAATTCGTTTCACTAGCGTCAATGGATTCATAGCTCCAACGATGGAGGATCGCCTGAAACCCTAATCGTTGTTCACTCCTTGCTGCTGCTGAACAGAGACAAATATATATGATGTCAAGGAAGGTTCAGTTCCCTCCATTTTTGACCTAATTGATTTGTTAGAAGGGAAAAAAAAAATTGTATAAAACTTTAAAAGTGATTCGAACCTCATCTCGTAATTCTCTAAAAAAAATATTTTTTTTTAAAAAAAGGTGGGATTCAAACAAGACATGTAAATTCAAAGCATTACCAATATAGCCGAAGCAGAGTCACTCGTCTTTGGTGAAATCCCAGATGGGTTGGGAGATTTAACCAATCTCAAACAGATTACACTCTCCAGAAAACAATTTCAGCAGCGAAGTGTCTCTAAATCCAGCCAAATTGAAGAAACAGAAGCTTCTTGATCTCAGCCAAAATGGGTTCGTAGGAAAAGTCCTGGAATCAATAGAAGGATAAATAGAGCTTTTGAAGATCGACCTCAGCTCAAATTGCAAGGTCTTGTCGTGGTGGAGCATGACAAAAACCACAAACCACAAAAAAGATATATATATATATATACACACATCCAATTTTCGCACAAATCAAACACACACCAAAACAAAATCAATTTTCACACAAATCAAACACAAACACAAAATTAATTTTGGCACAAATCAAACACACAGACCAACAAATTCTTGAATTGATGAGAAGGGAGAAACAAACGATAGAAGGGCAGAGGAGAGCAGAGGAAAGCAAAGGAAGGCTATACCTGGATGCCGGAGGGAGAACCAGAGAGACGGTGTTGTTGCCGCTGCAAGAGAGACGGTGTTGCCGCTGCTGCAGACGCTGTTGTTACCGCTGCACGAGAGACAGAACGACGACTGGGTGAGAGGGAGGGTATGCGTGAGCAAGAGCGACAGGAAAGAAGAGGGTTGGTTACCTAGGCGCTGCTGTTGCCGGTGCAAGAGAGATAGAGTGACGACTGGGTGAGAGGGAGGGAGAGAGAGCAGTGAAATTAGGGCTTTTTTTTTTTTGATCTGATGAGAGATAACAAAGAATTTGGGAATATCGGGAAAGAGGGAGAGTGGGAGAGGGGGCTTTGGCGCGAAATTAGGAATTATTATTTGCGACGATTTTAAGGCCGTCGCAAATGAAAGAGAAAAAAGTAAAATTTTGCGACGGATTGGCAAAACTGCGTCGCAAAACAGGAAAAAAAAATTAAAATCAGAAAAATTTTGCCATGTTTAACTTACCGTCGCATATAATCTTATTTTTTGCCACGGTCTAACTTTTTCCATCGCAAAAACTATAAATTTTGTGACGGCACTTAAACCGTCGCAAAAAGCAAGCTTTTGCGACGGCACTTAAACCGTCGCAAATTGTTCCGTGTCAAATGCTCCTTTTTCTAGTAGTGAAATGACGTATTCAAGTGAGATTGAACAAATCTGTAAAAAGATTTTAATCCGCCATGTGTCGGCGTAAGAGTGGCCAGACCTCCCTATAAATAGGGAGGAGTGGGACAACCTGTGAAGGAAAAACCAAAGGAAAGGAAGAAAAAGAAAACAAGAGAGGTGCGCGTAAGTACTAAACTTATAGTAGGGAGGTTGTGTTATACCTTGATTTACCATTATATGTTTTACGAATGTTTGGAGTTACCATAGCTTATTTTATACAAGTTATATTTTATTAAGTTATATTAATAAAAGTTATGTTTTATAAATATTTCAGTTACGTGGGTTACTTTCTAAACTCTATTTACTTAAAAGGAAACCCATGGATATGTTTGTTTAAATTTTAGTATATATTTGACTATAACCTTATAAACAATTATGTTTTGTAAGTACCACCACGAGGGTCCCACCCATTGGGGGACTTAAATAACCATGGGCCTCTATTTGACCACTTTGTGGTCCTCTGTTTGTCATGGATCCATTGACCTCTGTTCTGACTGTCACTTCTGTGACCTCTGTTCTGTTTTGTTTTATACCATGGTTATGGTTATTTTGTATTCCCTGCACTCTTTGCATAATATTTCTCACTCTGCTGTGTGTTTATAGTTGTTACCCTTTCAGGTGACGAGATGTAGGGGAAACCCATAACCCCATAAAATGGAACCCGCACATGGATTGCTGTTGAACCACTTTTTTTATCTTTTTAGTTTTGCTTCCTTTTTGTCCTACTTGGGGCCAGTCACTAACTAATAAAATAACTAAAGCCCTAGATATGTATTTTCTTTTTCCTTAAATAGTAAAATAAAGTAAATTTTCCATTTCATTATTTTATTTCTGCTTGTGCAGTTAAATTTGCTACATATAACATAAGTTAGTAAGTTGCAATTCCAACCCTAAACCCTAGGGTTGGGTCGTGACAAAGGTGGTATCAGAGCAACGGTTTAAAAAAAAAAAACTATTATTAATTTGATCAGGAAGTTCAAAAAAAAATTATAAATAAGACTATATAGCTAAGAAAATATAGTAAATTAAAAACAAAACAAAATAAAATAATAATAAATATTTACCTACAACGTTAGTCTTTCTGTGTAAAATCTCACGTTTATTCTGGTGTTGTGGGAATGCCAGAGATTTATCTTGATGATGCTTTTTGGGATGACCTCCAGGCCATCAATTTAGATGAAATCTTAACCGAACACCCCGCCCCTGCCCCCGCCTCACCTGAGGGTTGGGGAGATTCCGAGGACATAGTCAGGGGGCTGCACCCAGGCCTTGCCTGGTTAATGGGTCAGCCAGTTTATATCCAAGCTGATCCCACCGACGTCCCACATTTATTATGGAGACACAGCCTTGTCGATACATGCAAACGTTTCCTTGGACCATCTCGTATCCTTGGCGTCGCCCCGGGACATGACCACCCGCATTATATTATAGGCCCTCTACCCCCAGAATTTGTGGTCAGAAGGGGGAACGTGTACCCTGAGGATTATATTTTCACCACAGTCCCTAACCCACTGGTAAGGCTGCAAACGAACCGAGCCGAGCCGAGCTTTGCTGAGCTCGAGCTCGGCTCGATAAGGAACTGGGTTCGAGCTCGACTCGGCTCGTTAATTTTAATTAAACTCGAGCTCGGCTCGGCTCGGATCGATAAATTTTTTTTAATATTATTTATATTATTTAAATATAAATATTTAAATAAAAAAATATTATTTATATTATTTAATATATAAATAATGTATTTATATACATATTTAATATATAAATAACATATTTATTATATAATTTAAATAAAGATAAACGAGCCGAGCTTATGCGAGCTCGAGCTTGGCCCATTTAATATTCGAGCTCGAGCTCGGCTCGTTTACTAAACGAGTTGAGCCGAGCCGAGCCCTTAACAAGCCGAGCCGAGCTTGTTCATGAACAGCTCGGTTCATTTGCAGCCCTACCCACTGGAGATCATTATTATTCAAAATGTTGACTTTAATAACGACCTGCCATATGTTGAGACACCTGGCTGGATTGTCGACCGAGCATTTGTGGGACATATACGGTCCATCCCCATTTTCACTGTCCATGTAGCATGGATGTGTTTTGGTGTAGTCCAGTTAGGGTGGGAATTTGAGCTTTTTATGCAGCACTATTTCCCATGGTTTTTTAGCCCATTTGACCCACCACTCTAGATTTGGGTAGCAGAAAATCTTTTTGTGTGCTGACCAGGATGTGTTCTAATCCCTTTTTTTTATATATCTTTTTGTCTTGTTTACCGCAGGGATGAGACACTAACATATTCTGACTAATGTAATATGAATTGTAAAAAAAAAAAATGTGTAAAGATGGCATTTCATATAAATATAGATTGTGCTACATATATATATATATATATATATATATGCTACGTTGAGAATATAATGCCTCGTTTATTACTTTGTACAATGGCTAATAATGGTAATGGAAGTGAGTCATCAGTTAGTGGCACTGAACCGATGGAAAGAGTAATGGAAAGAGCAGTTACTAGCTTTTTGCAAGCCTTGCAAACTAACATCAACAATGGGACGCCGGAACGGCGAGAAGAGCTGGTTACCATAAAACAGTTCCAGGATCTGAAACCCACCACATTTACCGGCGGCCCAAACCCAATGGTAGCAGACGCCTGGGTTAAAGACATGGAAAAGATTTTTCGTGCCCTACCCCGCACCGAGAGACAAAAGGTAACTTTCGCCACTTTCACTTTCAAAGGCAATGTACAGGAATCGTGGCTTCTCACTCTGGCCAAAGAAGAAATTACGACTTGGGCAAGATTCTTGGAAGTATTCTACAAAAAATACTTTCCCGATTCATTGCGGGAACAGAAGGCATCTGAATTCATACATCTAAAGCAAGAATCCATGACAGTGGCCGAATATGAGAGCAAGTTCACACAACTCGCTCGATTTGCAACATACGTCATCCCCACCGAAACTTGAAAAGTAAGAAAATTTGAAGCAGGATTGGATGCTAGAATTAAAGACATGCTCGAGGTCTTGAAACTGCTAATCTATGCAGAAGTGGTGGACTGGGCGTACATTGCGGAAAAGGGGATTAAAGCCTCGCATTCTGGGGAACCAAGCTACAAGAAGCGATTTTGGGAATGAGACAATAGAAGACCTGGTGTTGCGCCTCCTAAAAAGGTGAATATGGGCACAACCAGCTCAAGCCATCAAGGTCCTACCAACCCCCGAGAAGACACTGTTCCAATTTGCCCCACTTGTGGGAGGGCTTATTGGGGACAATGCTATCGAGACACGGGAACATGTTTTAGATGCGGACAAGTTGGCCATTTGTTGAGGGATTGTCCGAAGCTGACTAATCCTACAGCCAGCCTCTCTGGCCCAGTCAGGAGACCCGCAGGACCTGGAGGAGAGAAGAAGGACCAAAAACACCAAGATCGGGCTTTTGTCTTGGTACATGGAAAATCAGAAGTTACCGAAAATGTTGTGTCAGGTACACTTTCTGTCTATGGTCTTTTAGCTCATGTCCTCATTGACTCTAGGTCAACTCATTCTTTTGTTACACCACACTTTGCTGCCAAGTTGGCATCAACACCCGAACCATTAGGATATATATTGTCTGTGTCTTTTCCTTCTGGTAAGTCTGCCTGTAGTACTGATGTGTACAGATCTTGTGTTGTATTCCTAAAAGGCAAAACCTTATATGTAGACTTGATTCCCCTCCACATTGGAAACTTTGATGTAATCTTAGGTATGGATTGGCTGGCTGCCAACCACACCTCTATCGATTGTAAAGCCAAAAAGGTCTCCCTCAGGTTACCAAACCAACCCGAACTTGTCTTTGACGGGGCTGGAGTTTCTAACCTTCACTGTATTACATCCTCCATGACAGCCCAACTAAAAGGGATGTGATAGTTATATTTGTTATGTGATTGATACACAAAAAGAGGCCCCCACCGTTGATGCAATCCCCGTAGTTCGAGAATTTTCGGATGTTTTTCTTGAAGATCTACCCGATATTCCAGTTGATCGGGAGATCGAATTCACCATTGAAACCTGTGACAACCCTCACCACTGATTAGTGCTAATCCATGATTAAGCATGTTAATTGACTGACTGACTGAATTACTAAACTGATTGATTGATTGTGCTAGTTTGAATGCAATTCAATCTGTTGACTGTTAAATTATATGTTCATGTTTTATGCTTTAAACTGTAAATTGAAGGCCTTATCGACGGCAGAATCTGAAATTGATTGATGTTTTGTGCTAATTAAGATTTATATGATTTTATGGCATATTTAATTGAAATTTGATTGGGTATGATTAAATTAGATTTAATAATGATAAATTACAAGGGTTGGACTTATCTACAAATTTGCCACCTAATGGAGTAATCTAGGCTAACCTCTCTTCACCTTATACACTTTTGATACAACATTTCCCTCAGCCTTTTTGAGAGCAAAACCGAATGAGAGAGAGAGAATAGGGAGATAGCTTGATTTCATCTCATTTTGGCTTGGAAACTTGGCAGAATTGAAGGAAATTTGCATGATTGTGCTTCCAAACTCTAGGCTCAAGACTTAAAGTAGGGAGTTCTTCCTTTTAATTGTGTATTTGAGTTGATTCTTGCATAGTTCATGAGCCTTTAGTGATTTAAGTCTAGAATTGGTCCCAATATGTTGGATTGAAGCTTAATCCATGCATGCATGTACATGTTCTAGCATATTGAGGTTGTTTTCATGGAAATTGTTAAATGCATGTTCATATTATG